CCTTCTGGGTTCAAAATCAAGACAGTCCTTTGAAGTGCTGTTCGTTCACTGAAATAGAATAGTTGGCAGAACAGTATGAACTCTACTGAGAGCGTTGCGGAAGAAGCATCTGCCCATGTAAAGAGCTGAATCCAAACTAGAAACTTCCCCTGTCCTTCCCTTTCAGGAAAGCTTCTGGCTTCACCCTCAGGGTGACACTTTCTGCTGGAGAACAAGTCAGTTTGAACAGCAGAGCCCCTCCTGCTGCATACCTCCTTTCTTCCAGTGCCTCCTTACTGGGTCAAGGACCAGGTCTTGGCTCTACTCCTCCACTCCTTCTGAAAATCCTCCCATTCCTTCCAAAGTAGCCTGCTTTTCATGTTGTGCCTGAGAAACTTCATTAGGTGACCTTGAAACTGTAAAGCCCTTGGCCCCATGCCTTGTTCCACTACCTCCTCAGAATCCAACGTAGGTCTGTCTGAACAGCCTGCATTGAGTGAGAGATAGGCCTACTCTCTACAGCTTTCACCATTTTGATCATGCACCCTCTAGTCAAGCTGATTGGAGGTCGTTCCATGACTTTGGAACCTGGACACTGGGAGTAATCATGGGCTAAACAACCCACAGGTTCCAGTAAAATTTGTTGTAGGTTAATTGTGGATTAACTAGCTCATAGCCCATAGCGCCTGGACCTCATGGAGCAACATCTCTGGAGCCTGATGGGAGGTTAGATAGCAGAGGCAGCTCACATTTGGCATGTTAATTAACACACAATTATATGCAGATTAGGTCATGGAGGCAGGCATATTCAGTCAATAAATATTTATTTGGATCAACCAAGTTGTCCTGTTGCAGTAAATAAAGCTATCACTAGTTTTGTTAAGTTACGGTGGGTATGTATTTATTTTTTGTCTCACTGTTTTTTTTTGTGAATAGATTTTTTGTGTTTTACACTGTGTGTATGCTTTTATTTTTGTAACCTGCCCAGGGAGACATGTGGCTAACAGGGTAGGCTAGAAATTTAATAAGTAAACTTCCATATAACCTACATAGGAGGATTGATGTATTGATGAAAACTGTAAAGCATTTTATACACTGGAATTGCCTTTGGAAAAGTATGCACAATTCCATAAATAAAATTGATTTGCAAATTATTATAATCCATATTTACTTATACACAGCTTTTTAAAAAGTTGATCAGAATATAATCTGTTTATAGGTAGAAAAACAGTGTTTTCTCCTTATTTGTTTACATTGCCATATTTGTTGTGTGTCAGTTAAACCAGAACACAAGATTGACCACAAACAGTAGGACAGATACTCGTATGTAAGCATTGCTTTTCCACTTTTCCATATCCACATCCACAAAAGGTTAGGACAATAAAGCTGGAGTAGGCACCTGGTGATTCTCTCTTGGTTATGCTGGTTAGGGTTAATGGGAGTTCTAGGCCTAAAACATCAGGAGGTTAACATAACATCCCCCTGTGGTAGAGTGTAGAGTAGGTTGTTTTGTAATGCAGTAAGCCCAGCTTCAGCCCGTTAGTCTTGATCTCTTGTATAGCTTATCTGAGCAATTGCTGCAGATACTGCATTTCTGCATCACTCGCATGTTGGGTGGAGGGTATGAGTCAAGAGCTAGAAAAGGCCCAGCGTGAGATAGCAGTAAAGAATTCTGGGGATTCTTGGGAAATGCAGATGTTACATTGGCTACCACAACTTACTAGGCCATTTTAATGGTGCACAATGAGACTGTGCCCTTGTAGTGTGCACTGCAGCACTAAGTAGAAATCCATTCAGTTGTTGTACTTGAAGTCTTTTTACCATTGTTCCAATACTCCTCCTTCCCCTGGCATGCACTTCATTCTCTACTCCCATTATGAACTCAGGTAGTAGTAGAAGACTGGGGCAAAAAGAGGGACCGGTTTCTTCTCACCTAAAGCCAGCACTGTTGAATTTCTTGTGGGACCTTCCTCTTGACAGCCCATTTGGGCAAAGATGGCAGCCAAAGGCACCCCTTATTCTACTCAAGGTTGACTCATATTCTATACATTTGTTTCACCATTAAGGAGGCCTAAATTTTTAAAATAAAGGGTAGCAGCAGCAGCTGCTGCTTTACAATTCTGGAATGAAAGAAGTGATGCAGCAGCAATGATGACTACTCTTGCACATGCCACAACTGCTTGAAAGTCCTCTGTCCTACCCAGGGCTTTTTTTGTCACCGAACGCACTGGAACGGTGTTCCAGCACCTTTTTTTCCAATGGATTTTACGAAGCAATTTTGAATCATAGCAGATCAGCAGCAAACATCATTAACATAGTGCCTGCAGGCTGCTTTTGTGTCTGCTCTCTGCTAGTGAGATAGTGAGGGTGCTGCTGCTGCTGCTCGGCTTGGGATTGGTGTGTGTGGTCGCGCAGCGCGCGGAGTATGTGTTCGAGGATAGGTTGGACATACATATGGTGGGCATGTCATGAGTGGAGCCAGCCGGAGTCGGGGGTTAGACTAAATGGCCCAGGAGGCCCCATCTGACTAGCGAGTTTCTATGTTCTGTGTTCTGATTTGTACTGTGCTGTAACTGATTAAGCTCTGACAAAAAGATTGTGCTTCTAAGTTCTTGTTTAAATCTTCTGGAGAGGAAAAGAGGGTGGGAGAGACCTGCTCACAAAAGCACCCACACCCGTGAATTGTTGTTTTCCCTATGCTCCACTAAAGTTAGCCACAGCTGATGTTTTCAAAAAAGTCGTAACATATTTGGAGTTCAATAAACAGTGATGCTTTCAATTGGGTGATGTGTTGAAGCTGTAGGAAAAGCCAGTCTGTTCTTGGAAACCTGTGTAGCAGGACTCCTTGTCATCAGTTTGTAGTTCCCACCAAAATACATTCATCGTACTATAGCTGAGACTATTTAATCTTTGTGAGAGATGCAGAGGCAGGGTGATAACTGGAATGTCTGGTGGAAAGGTGGGTGGAAGTTTGCTCCTCCAGCATCTCTCGTATTAGTCACCAGGAGCTGTGAGAGGTGGAAGCAGCAACAGTAGCCTAGGAAAAGTACCTGGCCCTGCAAAGGATGCCATTTGGCTGCTTCACCCATTTCTAGGCCAGAGTCGTTCTCTCTGTGATTTGCAGCCCAAAAGTTTGAAAGCCCAGTGCCACCTGGAACTCCTGTGGGCCAGGTGGAACTCCTCCCTCATATGTTACATCATTACAGTTTATATTAGTTATTTAGTTATTTTTGCTTTTGTCTGTTAATGTGTTTTTATTGTATTCTAAGCTGCTCTGAGAGCTCTGGTTCATAGGCAGGGTATAAATACCTGAAATAAATAAGTTGGTCATTGTCTTCAGAGAGAAAAATATATATGATAACACAATCACAACACCTGGAGATTATATTTTCCATTATTGTGCTTTGTTGAACTTCACAAAATTAGGCGAGGTGTGTGTTTTTATTTGTTTTTAAGTGGGGTGGAAAAATAGATAAAGCAGCCATATGTGTACACTGGAAATGATCACAAGGTGAACTGTAATATAACAGTGGTACCTCGGCTCACGAACACTCCAGTTCACGACCAGATCGGGTCATGAACAGACGTTTTGGGAAAAAATTGCCTCTGCTTGCGAACTCCGTATTGGGTGATGACCATGATTGTGGCCGTCTCCCCACCCCCCTGAGCACGATCGTGATCGTGGCCATCTTCCCCGCTCGTGGTTGCAGACAGAGGTTGCTGTGGTCACTTGCTGTGAAGCTTATTGAATAATGGCTCCAAAGAAAGTGCAGAGCAAGCATGGTGGTAAAATCATGCAGAGTGGTAATGAAGGTGACAAGAAAGTGCAGATTTTTTTTTGCCAAAATTGACCCTGCAGCTAAGAGACAAGAGAGGAAACCCCTGAAAGAGATCTCCCCAATGTCCTTATGGAGGGGGACTCTCCCTCCAAACAGTAACCCCCCTCCCGACCTAGGTTAGTGTTTTCCAATGTACTGTACTTTGTTACTTTGTTGTTCTTTGTCACTTTGTTTCAAATTTTTGTGATTAAAAAAATATTTACAGAACAGATTAACCTTATTTACATTGAACCTTATGGGGAAATTTGACTTGGCTCGCAACCAATTCAAGTCGTGACCAGAGTCATGGAACAGATTAAGTTCGTGAGCCGAGGTACCACTGTATTGGCAAACAATGCAAATGTAGTGATTATTGATTTTACCCAGTGTTAGATCTATTTAAAGGAGACTCACTGAAATAACACAGGATAGAACCCAAGGTAACCTAGAGAATCACATTAATTTCACTAGTCCTGATGTGCACAAATAACTAATGAAACTGATCCATTTTTTCAAAAAGCAAAACTGCTTTATTGTCATTGGACTCAACCAACCACCACTGACCTGCCCACCCATGACTGCTTTTATTGCTTAAAAGCTGCCTGCAATATGTGTCAGTGGCTATAGAGTGATGTAGTTCCCCCTGGTGGCTTGGTAGTTGAGACAGCAGGACTGCTGAACCTTGCAAGTCTGTAGCTGCTTGCAACCATTAGAACAGCTAGACCTGACAATCTGAATCATGAGCTTCCTAATGCCATGGCTAGTTTGTCTCTGAGACTTTGAAAATCCAGTAGACCAACTTTTCCCTACCATGCCAACTGAGAGATGCTGGAGTTGGAGGGCACCAGACTGGTGGAGCCTACAAAAGATACTTAATAATATAAGACTGTTTTGTATGCATATAGGCATTCAAAATTAATAATTGCATGCCACTAATATATTAGTTTGGTGATTAAAGTGTACAAATCAGTAGTCTTTTTTCTAATAGTTATAGCATTAATCTGATGCTGTGTTCTATTTTATTTTGTCTCATTATTAATCCATCCCAAGACCACAGTAAGGGACAGTCTAGAAAAGCTTTAAATAAATAAATCTTTTAAAAAAAACAGTACAAGCATTCTCTCATATACACTGTGGTTTTCATTTTCCATTGTGTGGTGCTACAGGTGTTGTGTGTATAAAACCATTTCCTTTTTCTTCCAGAAGAAAACACTAAAGAAGCTTTGCCAGTGCAGAAAAGTCTGAGTGAGAAAGTCTCCCTCTACAGAGGCGATATCACGGTGCTTGAGATTGATGCCATAGTTAATGCTGGTAGGTTCTGAAGTGTTACATGCAACATATTAAGTTTTAAACACGTGTTCAGCAAAACATACCTGGATAATGTGTATGTGCAGAACTGGATGTACTCATTGGTCACAAAATAGAAAGCTACTGTATTGCAGTATTGCAAATGGTGTGCCAAGAAAATCCATATGTTGAGAACATGAATTAAGCTAATGTAGAAAGATCTTGTCAATCTTCTTAATGCCTGTCAGTTTCTGTTGGTCAAGAGGAGGGCAGTGAACTGTACATGAGACTGGTCTACTACCTCTACTCCAGATTTGATTGCTACAGATTTCACTGGGCATTGCCAGGGTGCTTGTTTGGGAGCTGTGGCCAAGGCTTGTTGCAGTGGATAGCTTTTAGAAACTTTTCTTATTTGATGAAACAAGGTTTTAATAGCTGCTCACAAGGTTCAGCATTGTCATTTCCTTTGTTTGTTTTTCTAAATACGTATTTATGCATTCTCAATAATATTTATTTTTTATCCCTTCTGCTTTCTGGAAAAAGCTAAAGGAGATACCAATTTATTATAAATGAAGAAATCTTCAGTTTGTTTTCTTCATATATTTCATAATAATCAGACATAAGGAATAATCAATGCAATCTCAAATGTGGGGAAAAGGGGGGATATTGTGGCCCATGGCAGTGGGAATCATATCCACACTGCTGCACTACTAAGCTTCTATTTTTGCACCCATAAGGAAACTTAAATTTGGTTTAAGTGATCAAACAACCCATGGTTTGGTGCCACCACTTAATTCTGGATAACTTTGGTCAGGAAGAATGCCCTTGATGCCGTAACTCAAACCAAACATATAGTTTGCAAAACTGTGTGAAGCAATGATTTCTTTGGATAGCTTTGCACTACTTAAGGCAAGTGAATATACCAGGCCAATACCACACCAATTACAGTTAGTTCAGAGGCTGCAAGGGAAGAGACAGCGCTGTGGAGAAGAGCAAATGGGGAGTGAATGGGGACACATTTGTGAGCCAGGGAAGGAACAAGTACTTGCAAATGGTTTCATTTAGATTTAGACTTCTCAGGCACCATCATATTTTATTTAAAACTTTCGTACCTTGTCCAGCCACTGACATCTTGGGATGGCTTACAACAAGTTTAGATATTAGAAAAAATGATGCTGGTTGGACATGGTGGAAGTTGTAGACTTTTTTTTTATTTTGGAATACATTTGCATTGGGTTATGCCCTTAGTTCCCAAATTTATTGGTTTCTGCATATCTTTCCAATTATTATTGGGTGATTTCACCTCAAAGCTGATGGGCACTCAATCACCAGGGTTTGCTAGTAGAGGGCATTAGGTTATGTATGTGATGATTCTGCTTTTATGAACTATTTCTTGGCAGAGAAGAAATATGAAACATCTACTGTCTTTCTCATCAGACATTTTCAGACCATTGTGGTGACCTAGAACTCTGGTTATGTTGTCATTAATGCTTATAATTGTTCCAGTCCCTTAAAAGTAAGAGAAATGTAGAAACAGAGGAATTTGTTGTCTTGTTCACTTCAAGTTTCTAGTCCTTCAAGAGATATTATGTGTAATGGGTAACAGCAATCATGCTGCATTCAAAATTAGTCAGGATTTCCCAATCTCAAGTGTAGTTCATAGTGTTTCTTCAGTTGGAGAGGTGGTGGGAATTCTATGTACATATTAACCAAACTGTTAACGAGAGTAGCAGCAAAGCAAAAAGAATTCCTTTTCGTCTTCCTGTATCATCCACTACATAATCTCATAAATGTCTTTCTTCTCCTGTTTCTTGAATATGTTTTTGTGCCAACTGTGTGTCTTTTTTATTTGCTGAGTATCTCCAACTCAATTACTAAGCCATTCTTTAAAAAATGCATAGGGTCCCACCCACTTTGACTGACCATAGTGCTCCATGCCTAGTAGTTTTCTCTGGTCTCATTTTCACAATTATTACAGCCCATTTCATATCTGTAACAAAAGCCAGCCCACCAACACCTTAATAGAAATTTCCCTCTTGGGTTCCCTTGACCATTCCACACATCGTCCCTGCTTGTCTTGTAGCCCCTGTACTATATCCAGTGTTAGTCCTACTTGGATTAGACTCATTGGGATCAATGAGACCTGAGTGTGACTAACCTCAGATATAACTCCTTAGTCCCTGGTAGCTGTACTGTCTCCAGAAACTGTATGGATAGATCTGAAAGGTCTGCAGACTTCCACGGGGCTTTTTAGATACCCCTCTGCCTGCTGCCATTGCTTGACCCTGAGAAGCTGGGCTTGGGGTTTGGGAGCTTTCTAAACAGTGCAAGGCAATTCATCTGAGGTGTGTGTGTGTGTGTGTGAGGACACATCTTGCAGCCCTGTGTATGTGTACGCTCTCTATTCAAGGATTTTCTTAGATTCTGGCCATGGTGTTATAGTATATCTAGGTGACAGCAAATACCTAATACAGGCTGAGCTCCCACCTCTGTGTTCCTTCTACCAGAACCGAATGCTCTATCCTCTGCTCCCTGATTTTTCAGGGAGTTTTATTGCTTCACTTCTTATGGAGCTATCCATAACCAATAAACATGGAGCAGGTAAGAGCTGCTCTACTAAATGTATCCTCATTCCTTGCTCCAAAGGTTTATCCTTACCTCCTAGATAGTGGAAAACAATGTAAATCTTATTTGAGAACCAATATGCTTTCCTTGGCCCATTTCTTCTCAATGGTAGGTCACACTGAAAAACAGAAAAGTAACTTTCCTCACCTTTACAATTCTGAATCTATGGGGTGCGAGTCATTCACTTGAGTCCTGCTTTCTTATTGGCTCCTGTGCACTGAGATAATGAAGACAGATCACTCTTGTTGGGCAGCTGTAGTTGCAAGAATTGAAGCTTCATGGCAGGTAAATCACTTGGAAGCTACAGTGTGAATTCTAATTTGCTTTCCTGATGAGGATTCATTTCACATCTTCAATAATAATGATGGTAGTTGGCATAGGTATAAACTTTGAACAGTGTTACCTGAAACATTTATTGTATATAATATATGCTGTGTTTCCCAAAAATACACTAACGGTGCAGTTGTATGCCATGCCTGTTTGGATGTAAGTTCAAGGCTTACTTCCATCATTATAACCTAAAGGTTTCATGTGAAAAACAATTTTAATACTGCTTTGTAAAATTCAGCTAGTGAAAAGAAAGGATTATGATAATTCGTTGAGTAACTCTACTGTTGACACAGCACTTTTAAAACAGCACCCTTATTATTAAACTGGATAGGGCAGAAAGTTTTACTGCTTCACCGTTTCTACTGTTTCCGTTGACCTTCGAGGACTTTCTGGTTTGGTTTGTTGCATTTTAATTTTATGAAGTGTCACATCCCTGTCAAGCCAAAAATTAAACTTCAAGGTAGAGGTAGGGTGTTCATATATTGGAATTGTGAACTGAATATATTAGCCATGAATTATGTTTAAATGAATGTGTTAGTATAGTCTGTTGACTAACTGAGCTACACCCTCCCACATGAACAGCTTGTTAATGCGTAATCAGTCACTGAAGTTGCCATGAATCTAGAGCTTAATGAACAGGTGAGGGGAAAGGAGGCATTTAAATCTGAAATTGATCTGACAGCCTATCACTGATTGCTAATCCATTTCATTTGGCAACTTAATTTATCACACAGTTAAAATTTTCTTCTTGTAGCTTTCTGGGAGGAAATTAATTCAGAAGCATGCCCAATAATGTTGGGTTGAGCTGGCCTATTGAAATATTGCATCAGTGTTGAAGAGTGAAAGGCTGTGTGGGAGAGATGGAGTAAGAATGCACACTCATAAAGGTGCATGTGTGCATGTGCACATAGCACAAGTCTTACTCAATTGGCCAAGCTGTTTCCAATGCCTCCCCTCAGCTCTGCCCACCCAAAGCTGCTTCTTTCTGCTTTGCCTATGGAAACCTGTCCTGTCACTATGATGATGAAGAGGAATGTTCACTGTCAGAGGTCATGTATATCCCAATACCTAAGGACAAAGTGTGCAAAAGTATCGCCCTCATGCTTGGCTTGTTCTTGAGGTGTCTGATTGCCCATTGCTGCAAGTAGATGGTTAGACTAGGTGGGCCTGAGTCAAACACAGCAGGAGTCGTGCAACAATCAAACCCACCTAGCATTTTTTTGTCCTCATGCACAGAAAATGTTTTCTTTATTTCTAATCCAGCAGTTCTTTTAAAATGTGATAACAGTTCTATCTGATGGATAAAATTTCTCTGCTTGCTGTTTCAACCATGTGTGTGGTTAGCTGGGAGAAGCAAAATTAGAACCTTCTGTTCCTTCTGATACTTCAGTTTCAAAGGGTGCAAGTAGGTTGCAAGATCTACCCTTCTCCTTTGGGTCAGGACATTCAAATTTCACACATATTTAGAAACTTTGCCACACCATTTAGCTACCCCTTCTTAATGTGAAACCCCTTTTCTTGGAAATGTGTATAAGGCAGGCATAATTTTCCTTGGCATTGCAGCAGATCTCAAGGATTGGTGTTGCTGCTTTGTGGAAGTACGGAAACTAAACAGAGGCTTGCGCCCTCTTGTGACAGGTGCTGTATCAGTGGAAAGAAGACAAAATTGCCAACATGATGTGTCCCCTGAGGGCTTGATCACGAGCAAGACCTGCTTCCTTGAGCCAGCCACTTTCAAGCCTAGGGAGGACAGAAACAGGACCTCCCATTTGAGCTGGACAGTCTCAACCATACCAAGTCAGATGGCTCAAAGATGTTGCGGTGGGCAGACTGTTTAGGCACTTTAATGTGAAGGAGAGCCAGGAAAGCTTGCTGAGGAATTCTGTAGGTAGAGAATCTCTTCTACCTCAGTCTTTAGGGCACCCACTATTTAGAGAAATTCATTGATTTATGTTGGGCTTTGCAATGAACAAATAGCTCAAGTTGTTGCTCATTAAACCCAGTGCTTGTCTCTTTATTCTGAAGAGAAGTGTTGAAGTGTTGAATAACTAATTTGATGGATGGATGCA